TGTGAGCGCCCTCACATGGAACCAGAGGGGAACTGCAACAGTTCAGAAGCCGGAAGTGCCCAGAGAGTGGAACTTCTCTCCTTATTAGACATTCTCTGCCTAAACCTACTTTTCTTACTAGTATCGCCATCTAGTGGCCGACCCGAAAGTGACGCATAGAATATCTAAGTTACACCAGGCCTGAGCACTTTGCCAAATAAAATTGCACTTTCATATATATATATTCGGGGGGGGGGGTTTGCAATTAAAAAGGCCTAGAAATAATAATAACTTTAGCAATTACAATAGGGACCTCCAGCTGTCGATGGCTCGGTCCCTAATAAATAAAAATAAATGTTGTTGTGAAAAACAAACAAATGCTGTAAAAACCAAAGATTGAAATGTATTTCTAAAGTAAAGGGCAGATTACAGACAGGCTGCAGGTCGTAGTGGACTCCAGGAGGTGGCGGTAGATATCAAACAAGGTGTCTGACGAACATCTAAAACCTCCGTGATGAAGAACTCGGCTACCCATAATTCATTGCCGCTTTCCGGTTCCAACCATTCGAGACCTAAGATGGCGGACCGGCGGCGAAGGAGGAGGCGCGCGTCCCAGGACAGCGAGGACGACGACGAGTCCGGGTCGGGTTCGGACAGCGGGAGGTCGGGCTCACCGGCGACCAAGAGCCGAGGGAGAGAGCCCGACCCGCCGGAGGCCACAGCGGCCCGGGTCGAGACGAAGATCGCCGCGGAGTCCGAGTGTGTGAGTGTGTGTGTCCGGACGTTATTCCCCCGAGCGGAGCGCCGCTTCCATTAAAACTTGTCCCCGCCGCAGGCTTCTTCCTCAGTGCAACCGCGGGAAAACGAGCAGTGGATAAACTGACAGCCGTTGGACTCTGAGCACCTTCACGTCGCTGCAGCGCGCGAAGGGGAACTTAAAGTTAGCGACGCCGATTCTGTCCAACCCTGCAGAGTTTTTAAATTATATACTTTTTTTAAATGCGTTGTGTTATATTAAAGTAACCGTTTAAAACAAAAAATAAAAGTCCACGTAGTTAACTTTATTATTGTTTCGTTCCCTTTTGTGGAACCGAGACGAAAAGGCGCCAGTGGGAACGCATTTACTGGGGCAACACATCCAGCCGTAACACCGGCTCTCTCCTCCCCGCGGTGCTTTACACCGCTGGACGTTGTAACGAAGGTAGGAGGCGGTTTGCTCCCGGTGGTTAGTTGGCCAGCTCCCCGGGAAGCTGCTGTGTTTGTGTCCGTGCTGTCGGCGGACTGTTGGGGAGTTTCTCTTTAGCACCGGGCTAGGCCAATGCTAATGCTACCGCTCCGTCGCGAGAGTCCGCCACGTCCAGCTTACGTCAGATGCTGCGTGGAGACGTCAGCCGCGTCGCTCTCACCGTTTTATCCGAGGCGCGTTACTAAGCAACCAAAACGGGGTTCCCACGCATCCTGGAAAAACCTGGAAAACCTGGAAATTTAGAGACGAGTGATTGAAACACCTGGAAGTTGATTAAAATGAGCGAATGTCCTGAAATAATCTATAAAATGTATTTTATCCTTCAACCAACAGCAGTGTGTAGCTGTAATGTGTCAACCTCGTGATGGACCTGAAACACTTCATCACTAAAAAAGAACAACTGCAGTCGACGCCAGCTCTACCTGTAAACTGTGCGACTGTTTGTGAGCGACTGTGGTCTCCGTGACGATGTGAGCCTCAGTCACAAACTTAATTTACCTAATTAAAAGTCAAAACAAAGACGTCCATCACTGTAAATCCCTCACACACAGGCTAAATGAGCTAACGCTGAGCACTAGATCTTTATGTTCCTGCCCTGGACGAGTATAATCAGCTGCTCCTCCATCCACCCGTTTTAAATCCACAATATGAACTCCTGCAGAGTCATCCAGGAGGCAGCTCCCTGTGCGACTGTATGAACGTGTTGTTGGAGATTAACACTGTGAAGGTTTGCTGCTGACTTCTTTTATCTCTCTTTGCAGGAGAGTGAAGATGGAGTTGGAGAAGGTAAGACAGTTATTCAGTTAGTTATTCAGTTACCGGCACCGGGAACATAGAAATGAAAGATTATTATTATTATTATTATTATTATTATTATTATTACTGTTGCACAGCGAGGCAGGTTTCTATATCATATAACATTAGTTCTCTTCAGGACTGGTTGGTTTGCTCTAACTGTCTGATAGCTGTTGTAGAACCTCTGTGAAGCCTGTTGTTGTTGTTGTTGTTGTTGTTGTTGTTGTTGTTTTCTGACCCGGTTTCTCTCTCTCTGTCTGCCCTGTTCTCTCTAGCGGTCCTCTCCGACTACGACAGCGCCGATCCAGAGGAGAACGGCTCCCACTCGGAGGTAAAACACAGCGACAGTATGAGACTGGTTCAGCTGACATCAGAACCATCAGTCTGGACCTGCTACACTTCCAGTAACGGCGGGCATTCGCTGTACGATTTGAGCCCGTTTCTGACACGACCTTTGAGCCGCACAGCGTTTTAGAGTCGGACTGAATTTCAGCTTCATCGGGCGCGGAGCGTACAGGGCGGAGCAACGTCCAATCAGCTGCTCCTGCGTGGACGCTGGGATGAATCTCTTACAAACAGAGAGAACCTGGAACATTAGACAGAGCAGGAATCCCTCTGATGTTTCACCATCGACGTGAACGAGAGAGTCCGTATACACAAGCAGCTGCTTTAGTCTCGACGTCGGTGTTTCTGTCTGGTTAGCATTAAGCTGGTTGGAGATGAGCTGAGCTTATCGTCGCCTCCTGTGCACAACGTTAGAGCGACGCAAATCTAATCAGCGTACCTTGTTGTGATCAGTTCTACACTGACCTGGCTCGATGAAGCCTGTTACTGTCTATGTCCAGATGTAACTGTAGTGAAGGAAACAGAAATCATACTTCAGGAAGAGCAGTGTAGCTGTTAGTGTTCAATAAAACCAGACGGATGTGATAATCTTAAAGATCTTAAAGTAAAATGTGTGCTGTGTTTCTACAGCCAATAAAAACACACTTAGCTCCGTGAGCTGCACAGACGTCTGTTTCAGTTCCTACAGAGTTCGATCCACCGACATTGATCACGCAAAGGCGGGAGGTGGTCCGACAGAGTGAACAGACCTCATTAGACCTTCGGCGCAGTGTGACAGGATGTGTATCACTCACTGATGTTTCTGTTAGTTGAACTGTGTTCCTGTGTTCCCAAAGGGAGTGGAGGAGGAAGAGGAGGCAGAGCATTTCAGTGATGAAGAAGCTCCAGCAGCAGCCAGCGTTCCCCAACCCCCTGCTGCCGACGGCCCGATAAAGGTGGAGGAGGTGGAGGAGGAGGCGGTGGGTGCGGAGGAGGAGGAGGAGGAGGAGGCGGGTGAAGAAGTAGAAGAGGAAGAAGAAGAGGAGGCGGCAGAGGGAACAGAACAGAGTAAAGAGGAGAGCAAGGCCGAGGAGAAAGAGAACCTGGCTGGAGAGAGACAGAGCGGTGACGGACAGGTGAGACCGGCTCGACCAACCTGTGACCTCACAACTCACCACACAGACACAAATGAAGAACGAGAACACGTTTCATATGATTTTAATATTTGATGCGAGATGAATCACTGAAATGTGAATCACATCACAATAGCTGTCAAAATAATCCCACTATGACGTGTTATTGTGCAGCCCTGTGAGGCTTTAACCTGTTGAACCCGACGGACACCCGGCACAGGGTCGCGAGCGACGTCACACGATGTCCTCATTTCTACTGCCCTGTAAACAAGTTAACTAAAGCACCCTGTGGGTGTTTGGCATTTTTCTCTTCTTCCATAATGTTCCCAAAAAGACTAGACAGGCTCTCAGCTATTTTACCCAAACAGGCAGTCCAGATGTATTTTCTCCTCAACAACAAGTTTTTTGCGCAAACGTAATGCCATTAAACAAATGGCAACTAACAAAAAACCACCACGCCTGTGAATATACGACGCGACAGTCGGAATGAAACGCGCAGTACAGCCATATACTCCGCGCTCGCTCGCACTACACCTCCATGTCTAGGCATGCTCCGCGAAATGAAAACTAGAGAGGCCCTGCATCTTTCTCTGAATACCCCCCGGACGACGCAACAAATAACCGACCGCACGCAGGTACCAGCGCTCACTGTACGCGCAGACGCCAGAAGACGCAGCGACACAACATTGCAGCGTTCTTACTCGTCTATTAGCGTCGTCTACCAATTCTTGGTTTCCAAACTCGTGCCAAATGGGTGCCAAACCTGAAGTCCGCCTGGTCCGTACTCCCTTACTAAACCCACCTTTCTGTGGGGCCTCTTGCCTCTCTTGCTCAAATCCCTCTAATGCAAAGATTGTGGCTACAGTTTCCTGGTAGTCAACGCGGAGATTGCTGAAGGTCATCCAGTGGCCATCTGTGTCATCGGAGATTATTGTTAGCTGGGGGGTGCTCTACTTCTATGTCAAACTACGGAAAAAATAGGCGAGCAGACTGACGAAATTTCAACGGATTTCTCCTTTCTCTTTAGTATCCAATTTAATCCCACGGTATGCCACCATCAACGACACACTCAGTATTCCTGACTCTGGGACATTCACCATTCTGAGGTCCCTAGATGCGTCCCAGACCAGGACGGGGGCGACGCGCCGGCCCGCCGCGGACGACCCCTCGCCCGCACCACGCGGGCCTCGCCGGGCCCCCTGTTCAGCGCCAGGCGCACTCCAAGAAACTCCCACCTATGAAATTAGACGATTGTGAAGCAATATTGCATGCTTAATCTTGGGTATGCTCTTCCTTTGGGCGTTTTCTTTGCCTGAAACATCATGGCCTAGAGTTTAAAAAAAGCGTTAATGAACCGGTCACCGCCTTCGTCTGTTAACGGCGAGAGTGAAACTGTCATGCGCAGTCGTCTCTACACAGCTTTATTCTCACACACAGCACATTTCGCAGGAGTCAAACAAGCAACGCACTCCTGAAGACGAAGGTCGCAGTGAAACCCTGGTCAGGAAGCTCCCCGACGATGACGAGGAACAGGAAGAACCCGGCTACCCACCGTCCGAAGGCACGCGCGGTCTGGTTCCTCTCGAGCACCGACGTGCGAACGGACACGCGTCGGGCACGCAGGCGATAGGCTACCTCCGCTGGTCGTCGTCTCTGGCAGCAGTGGTTATTTATTTCATCCTTTCGGTTAATGCTGGGCGAACCGTAAACTTATAACGGACATCCTGCTCGGTTTCCTGTGTGGCGTCCGCACTCCCAGACCCAAAGGCGCCGAAACAGGAAAGGTTGGACTGGAAGGACGAGGGGTCGCCTGGGGCCACGGTAGGTTCCGGGAGGAGGCAGCAGCAGCGCCGAAAGCAAGCTCGAGGAGCTCATGCCATCTACGCTTATGGAATCCGAAACGCGGCGGTCCGGAGAAGCGAGGTCCCTACACGGCAGCCGCCGCCAAGGGTGACGCGCCGCTCAACCGTAGGAACGTGGCAGAAAGAGAATTGAATGCTGGCTAAGATTACACCTGATTAGTCTTTATTCATCATGTTGTTTCACCCTGTGGGATGTCTCCCTGCACGACCAAGAGTACCGGTCTCCCCCAGCCGAGACCACGAACGGTGACGGGACGGAGGGGAGAGCGACCGCCGCCCTCCGGACTCCTGGCACCACGGATGCAGGCAGGCGCCCAGGCAGGCAGCGAGGAGAGCGTCTCGCCAGAGAGAGCCTCCACCTTCATACCATCACACTCTTCTACATCTCCAGCTGCCTCTCCCTCTCCTCTCGCTCTGAATAGCGGCAAGCGTTTCCACGACGCCGTCCCTCCCGGCTCCCGCAACAGACGTCCCACGACACACCAGCACATGCACCTCCCACCTCCAGTCCCAGCTCTACCAGGCAGGATCACACTGAACTCAACACCGCGACCAGCAGTCACCACACGAGAGCGACCGGGCGCGTCCATCACAAGTCCAGTGTGATCCACAGCGAAGAGACAGGGGTACGCAGGTCCAGCACGGGGAGGCGCAGACGAGTGGAGGCGGCCGGGGAGGGGTGGTCCTCGTGTGGCTCCATCGCAGCGGCGACCACTGGCGCGTCAAGCGCCAAGGAGGCGCGTTAGGGAACCAGAGAGTGGTGCACGACGGCGCCCATCCAGGCACGCGGCGCTGGGTTAAAGTCTGCGTCGCCCCGCGAGGCTCACAAGCAGCAGAGCAGCGCACGCGCGACCGCACGCGACAGAGTCTGCGTTCCAGGATCTGTCCTCGTCCACCGCGTCGCACTGCACTCCGCCGCCAGCCGTCAGCCGTGCCAT